GAAACGCGCTCCGCGTAATGATTCCGTCATACTCGCAATCAGAGGAAGAGGATAACTGTATTTAACTGTGATCTGATTGAGATTACGGTAATCAATACACGGGCGCAACCCTCCATCCTTTTTCTTCACAAAAAAGAAACTCGAGGACACAGGGAAAGTGGAGGGCCGGATGTATCCCTGTCTCAGAGACTCGGCTATGTATGTCTCCATAGCCGCCGTCTCCTCTTGAGACAAGGGATACACATGGCTCCGCGGAAGTGCCGCACCTGCCAGGAGATCTATCGCACAATCTCCCCGTCTATGAGGTGGCAATCGCGTCGCCCTAGTTTTGCTGAACACGAGTGCCAAATCCTCATACTCGGGGGGAATGTGCATTGCGGGCACTTGGTTCGGACTCTCCACCGTGGTCGCCCCTACGGAAACACCTAAACATCGCCAACACACTGGTTAGACCACTCCTTGAGAGCCCTCTGTTGCCACGAAATGGTGGGATCATGGGCGATTAACCAAGGAAGTCCCAGTACCACGGGATACGCAGGAGAGTCGATCAGATACAACTGAATAATCTCTTCATGACCCCCCTGCGTCCTCATCTTAAGTGGCGCTGTGACCTCCCTAATCAACCCAGATCCCAACGGACGGCTATCTAGGGCATGGATAGGGAAGGGTGCATCAACGGGCAGGAGGGAAATCCCTAACCTCACACAAAAATTACGATCAATGAAATTCCCAGCTGCGCCTGAATGGACTAGCGCCTTATGCTGGGACTGAGATGCAACCTGAGGAAATACCACAGGTATACAAAAGTGAACAACAGAGAGCTCTGGGTGAGGTGGGCGCCTACTCACCTGGAATGACTCCCCAGTGCGCGACCTGCTGCCTCGAACCCCTGGAGACCCTCCCCAGCACCTAGCCGCAGTGTGTCCTCTACGACCACAGTTGGTGCAGGGGACGGCCTCCCTCGGTATCTCCCTCCTCCTCTCTCTAGCGCCAGCACCCCCGAGCTCCATAGGGCTCGGCTCGGAGGTGCTGGGGGATGGAATGGACGGCCCCAGCTCTGGACATCCGCGGGTGGCCAGCAGGGTATCCAGACGGATTGACATGTCCACCAGCTGGTCGAAGGTGAGATTGGTGTCCCTGCAGGCCAACTCTCGTCGAACGTCCTCACGCAGGCTACACCGATAGTGGTCGATGAGGGCCATCTCATTCCACCCCTCATCCGCCGCTAGAGTCCGGAAGTCCAGGGCAAACTCCTGTGCGCTCCTCTTCCCCTGTCGAAGGTGGAACAGACGCTCTCCCGCCGCTTTACCCTCAGGGGGATGATCAAAAACAGCCCTGAAGCGGCGGGAGAACTCCGCGTAGCTGATGGTAGCGGCGTCTATTCCCCTCCATTCGTCATTGGCCCACTCCAACGCCTTGCCGGAGAGACAGGAGATGAGGGCGGAAACGCTCTCGTATCCCGAGGGCGCCGGGTGTATGGTTGCCAGGTAGAGCTCCACTTGAAGGAGGAACCCCTGACACCTGGCTGCGGTGCCATCATATGCCCTCGGGAGCGAGAGCCGAATACCACTGGACTCCGGAGCTGGTATGGTGGGGCTGGCCGATGGTGGTGGTAAGGTAGGAGGAGGTGTGGGCAAACCTCCTCTCTCCCATCGGCGCAGGGTGTCCATGACCTCCTGCATGGCGGATCCGAGTTGCTGGATCCTGGCGTCCTGGTAGCTGTCCCGATCCTCCAGCGACTCGGTTCCCGCCGTTGCTCCTGCTGACTCCATAGTAAAAGGTGTGTTATTCTGTCACGGTATACTTGTGGATGTGGTGGTGAAGTCAGGCGCAGGACACAGCGGATAAGTCAAAACGACTTTACTTGACTCAATGACACAATACAAAAATAAATGGCCTCGAACACACAGGAGGCGATAACCTACGCGCAACGCGTAAAACACTAATACACAAAATATACCAAAAAGACAAACGACAGGCGGACATTAACACACAACTACAAAACATAACACAGTGAAACTTATAGGTGACATAATCAGGACAGAATACGAAACAGGTGCACTAAACTAGACATGACCAAACAAACATCGAAACATCCAACGGTGGCAGCTAGTACTCCGGGGACGACGAACGCCGAAGCCTGCCCGAACAAGGAGGAGGAGCAGCCTCGGCGGTATTCGTGTCAATTATATTGTGGATTTTCTCTTGCATTTCAAAGATGGAACAAAAAATAAATTGAAACGCATGTTTTTTTGTTTGTATTATCTTTTACCAGATCTAATGTGTTATATTCTCCTACATTAATTTCACATTTCCACAAACTTCAAAGTGTTTCCTTTCAAATGGTATCAAGAATATGCATATCCTTGCTTCAAGTCCTGAGCTACAGTTAGATTTAGGTATGTCATTTTAGGCGAAAATTGAAAAAAAGGGTCCGATCCTTAAGAGGTTAAAAGAAATGAGGCTGAACAGATCAGAACGTTTATCTTAAAATGTTGATAAACTATTAGGCTATTTCTTCACATTATAAGCGCAGCAATGTGCACACGGCAGCAGGCTATAAGCGCGAATGTTCCAAAATGCAATGAATTAGCGGGAAAACACCATTCCCAAATGTGACCACAAATGCAATTATGAATGTAATGCTTTATTATAAAGGTGCATTTTTATGGTGAAAATGATCTTCCTCAAACTTGAAACTGTATGCCAGTTAGGCTCTACACCGGTTGTAAAGCAGATGAATGTGCTTAATTTTAAGAAGTTATTTGGCCACTTTAGTAGTGATACAAACAAGTGATAATATATAATTCACAAGTGATAGGCTAATATTGTGACCCATCAGACTATTCTTGATTTAATCCTGTCTTTACATATACTAAGTAATATATATGTGAAATTAGTTTTGATTTAGAATGGACCATTATCATGCACCTGTCTCGGAACAGGGGAAATAAAGACATGTCATCTATGCACTTACAGTGCATTCGGAAAGTATTCAGACCCCTTGACTTTTTACACATTTTGTTAAGTTACAGCCTTATTCTAAAATGGATTGAATAGTTTTCCCCCCCTCATCAATCTACACACAATACCCCATAATGACAAGCAAAAACAGTTTTTTAGAATGTTTTGCAAATGTATATTAAAAAAACCCCGGAAATATGACATTTACATAAGTATTCAGACCCTTTGCTCAGTACCTTGTTGAAGCACCTTTGGCAGCGATTACAGCCTCAAGTCTTCTTGGGTATGATGCTACAAGCTTGGCACACCTGTATTTGGGGAGTTTCTCCCATGCTTCTCTGCAAATCCTCTCAAGCTCTGTCAGGTTGGATGGTCAGCGTCACTGCACAGCTATTTTCAGGTCTCTCCAGAGATGTTTGATCGGGTTCAAGTCCGGGCTCTGGCTGGGCTACTCAAGGACATTCAGAGACTTGTCCCGAAGCCACTACTGCGTTGTCTTGGCTGTGTGCTTAGGGTCGTTGTCCTGTTGGAAGGGGAACCTTCGCCCCCAGTCTGAGGCAGGTTTTCATCAAGGATCTCTCTGTACTTTGCTCTGGTCTGAGAGTCTTTAGGTGCCTTTGGCAAACTCCAAGCGGGCTGTCATGTGTCTTTTACTGAGGAGTGGCTTCTGTCTGGCCACTCTACCATAAAGGCCTGATTGGTGGAGTGCTGCAGAGATGGTTGTCCTTCAGGAAGGTTCTCCCATCTCCACAGAGGAACTCTGGAGCTCTGTCAGAGTGACCATCGGGTTCTTGGTCACCTCCCTAACCAAGGCCCTTCTACCCCGATTGCTCAGTTTGGCCAGGCGGCCAGCTCTAGGAAGAGTCTTGGTGTTTCCAAACTTCTTCCATTTAAGAATGATGGAGGCCACTGTGTTCTTGGGGACCTTCAATGCTGCAAAAAAGTTTTGGTACCCTTCCCATTTATTTATTTATTTGTCATTTAGCAGACGCTCTTATCCAGAGCGATTTACAATTAGTGAGTGCATACATTTTTCATACTGGCCCCCCTGGCCCCAGATCTGTGCCTTGACACAATCCTGTCTCAGAGCTCTATAGACAATTCCTTCGACCTCATGGCTTGGTTTTTGCTCTGACATGCACTGTCAACTGTTGGACCTTATATAGACAGGTGTGTGCCTTTCCAAATCATGTCCAATCAATTGAATTTACCACAGGTGGTCTCCAATCAAGTTGTAGAAACATCTCAAGGATGATCAATGGAAACAGGATACACCTGAGCTCAATTTCGAGTCTCACAGCAAAGGGTCTGAATACTTATGTAAATAAAGACCTGTGCCAGGGGCCCACTGTGTTCTTGGGGACCTGTGCCAGGTCTGGAGGAAACCTGGCACAATCCCCATGGTGAAGCATGGTGGTGGCAGCATCATGCTGTGCAGATGTTTTTCAGCGGCAGGGACTGGGAGACTAGTCAGGATCGAGGGAAAGATGAACAGAGCAAAGTACAGAGAGATCCTTGATGAAAACCTGCTCCAGAGCGCTCAGGACCTCAGACTAGGGTGAAGGTTAACTTTCCAACAGGACAACGACCCTAAGCACACAGCCAAGGACAAGTCTCTGAATGTCCTTGTGTGGCCCAGCAAGAGCCTGGACTTGAAACCGATCTAACATCTCTGGAGAGACCTGAAAATAGCTGTGCAGTGACGCTCCCCATCCAACCTGACAGAGCTTGAGAGGATCTGCAAATGTGCTTCAACAAAGTACTGAGGAAAGGGTCTGAATACTTATGTAAAAATGTTATTTCAGTTTTTCTTTATTGTTAATACATTTGCAAACATTTCCACAAAACTGTTTTTGCTTGTCATTATGGGGTATTGTGTGTAGATTGATGGATTTTTTTTTTTAATGTAACGTAACAAAATGTGGAAAAAGTGAAGGGGTCTGAATACTTTCCGAATGCACTGTAGCCTGCAGTACTGCAGAACCTCATGCTAACCTCTTGTTATGACTGACAAGTAGGATTTAAGAGATCCTTACAGCACTGTTGAGGTTGGCGCGAATGCCACCCATGCTAGGGTTGCTCTCTGCCCGCCGGTTGTCATTGCCCAGGTTCAAAGGGGGAGGAGTCTTCATCTCCAAGGCCCGGCTCCGGTTGCTATGGGAGAACATGGAGTAGCCAATACCTTTTACAGAGAGAAAACAAATAGGAAGTGAGAAACAAGATGTGGGTAGAATAATGTTTCACTCACAGACAGAACACTCATTCACTCTCTCTCAATCTCTCTCACTCGCTCCACCTGTAAAACAGAAGTTCTTTTTTAGGCTTGAACTTTATCTCTTAAAGACATCTGGCACTTCAGATTACCAAAACGTACATTATTAATGTTAACCTCATAACGAAACATTTATTCACACCTTGATAGTGGATTAACTCAGTAAGCATAATATTGTTTACATACGTTTTGCTCTGATCTGTATTGATAAAAAGGGAAAATGACAAGCATCATAATGTACAGTGTATAGCATTTCAAAATGCAGCGTTACTTGACTACATAGCTCAGTTGCGATGGCAAACCATTGAGTGGCATCCCTACTAATAACTATAGAGTATGAAGAGTGGAGTTGAGCTGAACTGAGATGACCAGCAGGTACAACTGTTGTTGGCTGGTCCTCACTACATATTCGTCGCCAAACCCACTGGCTCCAGGCCATCTATAAATCACTTCTAGGCAAATCCCCGCCTTATCTTAGCTCATTGGTCACCATAGCAACACCCACCCGTAGTATGCGCTCCAGCAGGTATATCTCACTGGTCATCCCCAAAGCCAACACCTCCTTTAGCCGCCATTCCTTCCAGTTCTCTGCTGCCAATGACTGGAACAAATTGCAAAAATCTCTGAAGCTGGAGACACTTATCTCCCTCACTAACTTTAAGCATCAGTTGTCAGAGCACCTTACCGATCACTGCACCTGTACACAGCACATCTGAAATTAGCCCGCCCAACTACCTCATCCCTATATTGTTATTTATTTTGCTCATTTGCACCCCAGTATCTCTATTTGCACATCATCTCTTGCACATCTATCATTCCAGTGTTAATTCTAATTGTAATTATTTTGCACTATGGCCTATTTGTTGCCTTACCTCCATAACTTACTACATTCGCACACACTGTATATATATTTTCTGTTGTATTTTTCACTTTATGTTTTGTTTTACCCCATATGTAACTCTGTGTTGTTGTTTTTATCGCACTGCTTTGCTTTATCTTGGCCAGGTCACAGTTGTAAATGAGAACTTGTTCTCAACTGGCTTAACTGGTTAAATAAAGGTGAAAAAAAATAAAAATAATAATAATAATATAAAAACAAAACAAACAAAAAAACACACTCACTGCTCAGAAACTAAAGATCAGCCTCCAAACGCTGTTTCACACAGCACACACACACACACACACTTCCTGTTTTCACAGTCAGCTGCACAGCACTGAGGTGGCCTCACATTCTGTAGGCAATCCATGGCAAGAATGGTACCTCTAACCCTCTAGGAATGTTTGAAAATAACTAGGGGCCAGGTCTCACCTGAGTGTGGAGACACGAAGGCAGCGTGGCTGTGGGGCCCTGCAGGGCTGGCTGAGCCTGGTCTGGGGCCCAGGGGCTTGAAGGCCGGGGGTCTGTTGGAGCTCAGGCTGGGATTGGACGAGTTGGGGTATCCATTCTCACAGTCACCAGACACCAGGAACTGGGCCTCTGGTGAGAGCAGAGAGGGGGCCTGAAGGGAAATATGGGAGAGTGTCTGTTTCAGTTAAGATCAGAAAGTTAGGTCTATTACAGCTGCATTGTACTGTTAAAGTGTCTCTTTAAGTACAAAATGTGCTCACTGAGTCAAATTAATGCTTTGATCGTTCAATAGAATAATTTTCTCAAACTGTGCCATTCTTCACCAAATAAAATAAATCAATGAAACAGCTTTAGTCCATTTACAGCCTTTGGCTCAGACAGCAGTGAGTACTTACATAGTAGCGCTGGCGGGTCAAAGTGAGGTCCATGCCCTCGCTGAGTGAACTGTACTTCTCTGCTGCCACCTGCATGGGCTCCTCAGTGTCCAGCAGCTCTGTCCCGTCCAGACCCAGGCCTTTCTTCCGCAGAGTCTACAGCAACAGGACAGAGAAAAGAGCAGCACACAGACATTACCTCAAGGATACCTCATACTACAGCCTGTTTATACTATTGCCTCTTGGGGATGTCCTAACGATACAGAAGTTGGCCGTACCGACATTGTTTTTTCAATGCTTTATAGCGGTGCCCAAGTAAGCATTTCATAAGCTTATGCATTTAAAAGTAAAAGCTCTCTCAACTGTGTGTCTTCATTGGGAATGAATGTAATTGGAACTTTGGATATAACAAATTACTATACATACTCTATAGGAGAACATGTTGAGTAATGTGTGGACCTAGTAATGTATTTATACCTCCATTATGTCTGTGTTGGTCCTGCTCTCATGAGGCTCGCTGTACTCAGTGTACTTGAGCAGGACCTTGTCCATGTCAGTGCTGGCGTACTGGAACAGACGGTTGGTGCTGTTGAAGATGATGAGGGCGATCTCACAGTCACACAGCACACTCAGCTCATATGCCTTCTTCATCAGGCCAAACTTACGCTTGGTGAACGTCACCTGGGGACAGAAACATATTGGTTCAATGTATTATTTATTATGAGTGACTGTTTAACTAAACCATGGCAAATACAATAATGATAGAAAGTGATAGAAACAATCAAAGAGTTGTACCTGTCGATTCCGCTGGTCCAGGATACGAGAGATTTGTATTTTTTTCCTTCCCATTGTGTTCGCAGTCTGACTGTCTGAGAGGTGGCTTTACACTGTGAAAAAATATCACATATCACAAAACGCAATCATTTCTACTCATCACAAAATAGAGATTTTTTTTTCTTAAACTTTATTTCACCAGGATATCCCATTGCCATAAATCATCTCTTCTAGATCTCATGGCAACATCAACAACCCATTACACAATCAAACCTGACAAACTTTCAAAAAGCAAACCATATGGTTGAGACCACTGTACTTTGGTATTTTATTAGGATCCCCATTAGCTGTTGCAAAAGCATCAGCTACTCTTCCTGGGGTCCACATAAAACATGAAACATGACATAATACAGAACATAAATAGACAAGAACAGCTCAAGGACAGAACTACATAATTTTTTTTTAAAGGCACACATAGCCTACATATCAATACATACACACAAACTATCTAGGTCAAATAGGGGAGAGGCGTTGGGCCGTGAGGTGTTGCTTTATCTGTTTTTTGAAACCAGGTTTGCTGTTTATTTGAGCAATATGAGATGGAATGGAGTTCCATGCAATAATGTCTCTATATAATACTGTATGCTTTCTTGAATTTGTTCTGGATTTGGGGACTGTGAAAATACCCCTGGTGGCATGTCTGGTGGGGTAAGTGTGTGTCAGAGCTGTGTGTGAGTTGACTATGCAAAGAATTTGGGATTTTCAACACATTAATGTTTCTTATAAAAAGAAGAAGTGATGCAGTCAGTCTCTCAACTCTTAGCCACTATTTATATCAGCCCTCTGATTATAATGAAGGGCAAGATGTGCCGCTCTGTTCTGGGCCAGCTGCAGCTTAACTAGGTCTTTCCTTGCAGCACTCGACCACACGACTGGAGAATAATCAAGATAAAACTAGAGCCTGCAGGACTTGCTTTTTGGAGTGTAGTGTCAAAAAACCAGAGCATCTCTTTATTACAGACAGACCTCTCCCCATCTTTACAACCATTGAATCTATATGTTTTGACCATGACCGTTTGCAATCTAAAGTAACGGCAAGTAATTTAGTCTCCTCAACTTGTTCAACATCCACACCATTCATTACCTGATTCAGCTGAGGTCTAGAACTTATGTCACGCTCTGGCTCCGGGACTCTGTAATTTGAGCCAGGGTGTGTTCATTCGTTGGGTGTATTTCTATGTTTGTATTTCTGTTGGGTTTATTTCTATGTTTGGTCAATGACTCCCAATCGGAGGTAACGAGTGTCAGCTGTCGGCTCGTTATCTCTGATTGGGAGCCATATTTAATCTGTATGTTTTCCTGTGGGTGTTGTGGGTTTTTGTTCCGTTTCGGTATGTTTAACCGTTGGACTTCACGAGTCGTGTTTTGGTTTGTTCGTTAATTAAAATAAAGTCATGTTTGTATCACACGCTGCGCCTTGGTCCGCTTCCTGTAACGACGATCGTGACAACTTAGCGAATTATTTGTACTAAATACAATGCTCTTAGTTTTAGAGATGTACAGGACCAGTTTATTACTGGCCACCCATTCCAAAACAGACTGCAACTCTTTGTTAAGGGTTTCAGTTACTTCATTAGCTGTGGTTGCTGATGCGTATATGGTTGAATCATCAGCATACATGGACACACATGCTTTGTTTAATGCCAGTGGAAGGTCATTGGTAAAAATAGAAAATAGTAGAGGGCCTAGAGAGCTGCCCTGCAGTACACCACACTTTACATGTTTGACATTAGAGAAGCTTCCATTAAAGAAAACCCTTTGAATTCTATTAGATAGATAGCTCTGAATCCACAATATGGCAGAGGTTGAAAAGCCATAACGCATACACTACCGTTCAAAAGTTTGGGGTCACTTAGAAATGTCCTTGTTTTCCATGAAAACATACATGAAATGAGTTTGAATAGGAAATATAGCCAAATGCATAGGAAATGTAGTCAATGACAAGGTTAGAAATAATGTTTTTTAATTGAAATAATAATTGTGTCCTTCAAACTTTGCTTCGTCAAAGAATCCTCCATTTGCAGCAATTACAGCCTTGCAGACCTTTGACATTCTAGTTGTCCATTTGTTGAGGTAATCTGAAGAGATTTCACCCCATGCTTCCCAAAGCACCTCCCACACGTTGGATTGGCATGATGGGCACTTCTTATGTACCATACGGTCAAGCTGCTCCCACAACAGTTCAATATGGTTGAGATCCGGATCCGGTGACTGTGCTGGTCACTCCATTATAGACAGAATACCAGCTGACTGCTTCTTCCCTAAATAGTTATTGCATAGTTTGGAGCTGTGCTTTGGGTCATTGTCCTGTTGTAGGAGGAAATTGGCTCCAATCAAGCGCTGTCCACAGGGTATGGCATGGCGTTGTAAAATTGAGTGATACCCTTCCTTCTTCAATATCCCTTTTACCCTGTACAAATCTCCCACATTACCACCAACAATGCACCCCCAGACCATCACATTGCCTCCACCATGCTTGACAGATGGCATCAAGCACTCCTCCAGCATCATTCCATTTGGTCTGAGTCTCACAAATGTTCTTCTTTGTGATCCGAACACCTCAAACTTCGATTAGTCTGTCCATAACACTTTTTTCCAATCTTCCTCTGTCCAGTGTCTGTGTTCTTTTGCCCATCTTAATCTTTTCTTTTTATTGGCCAGTCTGAGATATCGCTTTTTCTTTGCAACTCTGCCCAGAAGGTCAGCATCCCAGAGTCGCCTCTTCACTGTTGACGTTGAGACTGGTGTTTTGCCGGTACTATTTAATGAAGCTGCCAGTTGAGGACCTGTGAGGCATCTGTTTCTCAAACTAGACACTCTAATGTATTTGTCCTCTTTCTCAGTTGTGCACTGGGGCCTCCCACTACTCTTTCTATTCTGGTTAGAGCCAGTTTGCGCTGTTCTGTGAAGGGAGTAGTACACAGCGTTGTACGAGATCTTCAGTTTCTTGGCAATTTCTCACATGGAATAGCCTTCATTTCTCAGAACAAGAACAGACTGACGAGTTTCAGAAGAAAGTTATTTGTTTCTGGCCATTTTGAGCCTGTAATCGAACCCACAAATGCTGATGCTCAAGATACTCAACTAGTCTCAAGAAGGCCAGTTTTATTGCTTCTTTAATCAGCACAACAGTTTTCAGCTGTGCTAACATAATTGCAAAAGGGTTTTCTAATGATCAATTAGCCTTTTAAAATGATAAACTTGGATTAGCAAACACAACGTGCCATTGGAACACAGGACTGATGGTTGCTGATAATGTGCCTCTGTACGCCTATGTAGATATTCCATTAAAAATCGGCCGTTTCCAGCTACAATAGCCATTTTCAACATTAACAATGTCTACACTGTATTTCTGATCAATTTGATGTTATTTTAATGGACCAAAAAATTGCTTTTCTTTCGAAAACAAGGACATTTCTAAGTGACCACAAACTTTTGAATGGTAGTGTATGTTTTTTCAACAACAGGTTATGGTCAATAATGTCAAAGGCTGCACTGAAATCTAACAGTACAACTCCCACAATCTTCTTATTATCAATTTCTTTCAACCAGTCATCAGTCATTTGTGTCAGTGCAGTACATGTTGAGTGCCCTTCTCTATAAGCATGCTGAAAGTCTGTTGTTAATTTGTTTACAGAGAAATAGCATCGTATTTGGTCAGACACAATTCTTTCCAACAGTTTGCTAAGAGCTGGCAGCAAGCTTATAGGTCTGCTGTTAGAACCAGTAAAGGCTGCTTTACCACTCTTGGGTAGCAGAATTAATTTGACTTCCCTCCAGGCCTGAGGACAAAGACTTTCCTCTAGGCTCAGATTAAAGATATGACAAATAGGAGTGGCTATAGACTCAGCTACCATCCTCAGTAGCTTTCCATCTGTTGTCAATACCAGGAGGTTTGTCATAATTGATCGATAACAATAATTATTCCACCTCTCCCACACCAACTTTACAAAATTCAAACTTGCAATGCTTTTCTTTCATTATTTGTTTTTTTATGCATTATACGATGGCTCACTGTTCGTTGTTGGCATTTCCTGCATAAATTTGCCCACTTTGCCAATGAAGTAATCATTTAAATAATTGGCAACATCAAATGGTTTTGTGATAAATAAGCCATCTGATTCGATGAAAGATGGAGTTGAATTGGTCTTTCTGCCCATAATTTCATTTAAAGTACTCCAAAGCTTTATGTCATTGATCTTGGCTTCATAATACAGTTTCTTCTTATTTTTGTTGAGTTTAGTCACATAATTTCTCAATTTGCATTAAGTCAGCCAGTCATATGTGCAGCCAGACTTATTAGCCACTCCTTTTGCCTCATCTCTTTCAACCATACAGTTTTTCAATTCCTCATCAATCCATGGAGCCTTAACAGTTCTAACAGTCAGTTTCTTAACAGGTGCATGTTTATCAATAATTGGTAGAAGCAATTTCATAAATAGCTCAATAACCCAGCACCAATAACCCAGCAGTTGTTAAAGAAAATAACTCAATTAAGTGACCCAACGCCTGCAACCCAGCAGTTGGGTCAACCAAACGACCCAGCATTTTTTGGAGGGTAGCAGACCTACATTTTCTTCTGCAGTAGATAGCATCTCACCTCAGATGTAAATTAAGAGAATAGAGGGAAGTGGGAGATCTGAGCTAAAGAGAAGCCAGAGATCTTTATCACATGGGGGTTTACAGAAAGTTCCTTTCTCTCAGATAGAACTACTCACCACAGACAGCCCCCACCTCTCACACAGCCAGGCAAATATAGCATTTACCTTGCCTAAACGGTGAGGACATGGCCTTCTCAGAGTGGTTTTGAATGTTTCTCAAACCACTACAGCCAGTAAACCCGCACACGCATAATGTCACCTAATTCTGGATAATGCAGTCCGTATGACAACTGCCGCTCAAAAAGGCTAAAAACAGCCAAGTAAGACAGCAATGTAGCTGTCAGCAAGAGTTTCACTGTCTGTAAAATCATTGGAGCGTTGATGAGAATGTACATTTGGCTGCCTTGGAAGGTA